TACAATGTAACTACTAAACTTTCAGGAAACAAAGTAAGAGAATATATATAGCAACTAGTGCTGAACAAAGACTTCTGAGACTTGACATTAATAGTAAGATCCAAGAAAGAACATATTGACAAGTTTGACTTCAACAAAATCTTAATTTTTCCCCCAAAATTTAAAATTTGATTGACCAAAAACATGTAAAGAAAATGAAAAAGAGAAGCTACAGACTAGGGGAAAATCTTTACAAGTACACAGTTAAGAAGGGACTAGTTGTTCTAAACTTAACATATAAGAAAGACATTCACTTAGAAAATGGACAAGATGTCCAGTGGTGGTGGTGCATAACTTTAATCCCAGCACTTGGAAGGCAGCGGCAGGAGAATCTTTGTGAGCTTGAAACCAGTCTGGTCTACAAAGTGAGTTCTAGGACAGCTAGAGAAACACAGAGAAACTGAGAAACTGAGTCTCAAACAAACAAACAAATAAAAAACTAAAAAAGAGAGAGAGAAGAGAAGAGAAGGAAAGAAAAGGAAAAAGCAAATGGACAAGCAACCAGTCAGGACTGCAGGTAGATAGCAAAGCACATGGTGTCTGGCTTGTGTGAGGCTTGGGCATAGTTTCCAGCACCAGAAGAAGAAAGAAAATGGACACAGGACGTAAGGACATAAACAGATATTTGAGAGTCAAGGCTGTGACAAGCAAATACATCAAAAGATGTTCAGTGTCATCAGCCACCAGAAACACATTACTTCCCAGCTCTCCACAGGGCTGAAATAAGACAGCACATGTGCTGAGGATGCAGAGGTACGAACACATTTACATTAGGGCAGATGCAGAACCAGGACAGTCCCCGCTACTCGGGAGGCTGAGGCAGGAGGATTTCAAGAGTGCAAATCCAGCCTTGGCGACACAGTGAAACTCTCTTTCAAAATAAATAAGGGGCTGGAGAGATGGCTCAGTGGTTAAGAGCATTGCCTGCTCTTCCAAAGGTCCTGAGTTCAATTCCCAGCAACCACATGGTGGCTCACAGATATCTGTAATGAGGTCTGGTGCCTTCTTCTGGCCTTCAGGCATACATGCAGAAAGAATATTGTACACATAATAAATAAATAAATAAAATAAGGATATACATTTCCTTTAGTTTTCTTCAGTTTTCAAATTAGCTTTGATCTTGACCAACATTCCTTGCTAAGTTCTCCTTGACCTGCCCCCAAAAGTACTGGAACATAAAGTCTGACCTGCAGAGCACATTGTTCTGACAACTCTCCTGGAAAATCAAAATAGCTCCAGTTCTCTGCTGCCATGGTCTCTACGTTTGTCGCTATCTGTACCCTGTGTGGTTGCTGTAAAGCCATGGCACACTGTCCCAGAGTCACTGACGTTGCTGTCACTCAGGACATTCCTTTCCATGCATGTTCAAAGGATTGGACATTTAACTAGCCCACATGGGAATTCCAATGAACTCTGAAGCTTGAGAACCTATGGGGCTCGTTCTCTGCAATCAGGGTTTCCTGGGGAGTCGGTAGCGGTTCCCACACTGGGACATTCTCGTGGACAGTTTGAAAGGGAAGGATTGAGCAGGGACCCAGTGCCAGTCCAGGGTGGGAGCTCACCGCTGTGTTGGGCTCGATGAGGCGGTGCTGCAGCATCTGGGCAGCTTCCCACTGTCCCGTGAGGCAGAGTCTCTCCAGCTGGCATACCTGGGCCCCTAAGACATTGGCCAGGCCGCAAATGCCCCCAACAGCTCCTGCCCGAAGGAGACAAAGCATTCATCAGAGCTACTTACTACAGAGAAACCCAAACCCTGAGCCCCGATTTCTATAGTCTTTGGGCCATGTCACAGTCATGGTCTGTGTGTCCAGTTGCGTACTTCCAGCAAAGGCTGCCTGTATGTTCAAAACAAGAAGTCTGCATGCCAGTTGCTGCTCAGAGCCAGTGGTGGAACAGGGAACACTGCCTTCAGAGCATCCCCTTCACCTACCTTCCACCTACCATGTTTCCAGATCTTGACACCTTACGGGCTGGGGAAACAGGAACTAAGTTCTGAAACCTTATTCCTTCAGTTAACTGGGCTACTACTGGTCAGGAGTGGGAAAGCGGCCTGGATTTGGGGCCAGGAGTCTGGTGTTTCCTCCCCTTGGCTTCAGGATGTGAAATTCAGCATTTGAGTGTGATTCTAAGATGAGGTAGCAGTGACCCTAAGCATAGTGGTTCAAGACTGGAAGGAAGATACCTACTATAGGGCCAGAGAGATGGCTCAGTGGGTAAGCCCGATGACCCAAGTTCAATCCCTGGGACTTACATGGAAGGAGAGAACAACTTCCCAAAATTGTCCTTTGACCACACATATGTGCCATTACATACATGCACCCTACACACATATGCATACAAAATAAATAAGATACAACTTAAAAAATTTAATGAGAACAGATTTATTTAAAAACAAAAGATACTCATAGCCAAGCATAGAACACTCAGGGAGCAGGAGCAGGTGGATCTCTGTGAGTTCAAAGGCCAGCTGGACTACAAGAACTTAAAGGATAATTAGGGCTACACAGAAAGACCTTTTCTCAGAAAGAAAAAACAACTCAAAAGCTTACATATTATGTGCTGACTGGGCACTGGCTGATGGGCTGGCCCTCTGACTTTCACAGACCACTGAGTTGTTTAGGGTAAAATGCAGGCCCAGTGAGGGCTGGTGTCCTGACTTGGTTACTGTGTGAAGCCACACCTCAGTCGCCCCTACCTCCAGAGCCTGTGCCTTCTCCACTGTATCTAAGGAAAGAGCTACAAAAGCTTTTCCCCCACCTTGCACTTTAGAGACTGTAGGATGGTAAAGGGATGTGCTAAGACCCGGACCAAAGCGGAAGTCTACAGAGCCCAGAGATAACGGAGACCACTGCTGTCTCCCACAGCTGAAAAATTTATCTCAGCTCGCTGATGCTTCTGTTCCTCTGCCCCACCCACCAGGGCTCAATCCAGCCGAACCCAAAGACCCTCTCCCAAAGCAAACAAGAGCAGCTGCTCTAAGTGCCATTGCTAGGATGCCGGACTGCAAGAGAATCTGAGCAGACAGCGGGAGATCCCACCCCAACCTCCCAGGTCTGACAGTTCATTCCGTCCCATGATCAGAGGCAGCAGAAAGCGGACTCCTGGCCTAGAGCAGCGGCCTGAGACCTCTGCTCCCAGAGAATGATTTACAGGGTGAGATTAGACGAGCTAATTTTGTCATCTAACATGGAATTTGGGACTTAACCAACTGCAGGCATCTCTACAGGCCAGCACCTTACTCATACACCCTCCCCCACCCAAAAGGGTCAAGCCCAAGTGCCCAGAATTGAGACAGCTGCTCCCTGCAATCCCAGGCCTGCCCCCCCCAACCCAGTCTCTCTTAGTAGTCCCGAGCATCTGGGTGCATTTTGGTTGGTCAGGACAGTTTGAGCAGCAGGAGGCTTACCCACAGCATAGCTGGCCAGGAGGAAGCCAACCGACCCAGCCAACACCTGGAAATCCTGCTTGCTGGTCTTGTGAACTATCAGCCCAATCTTGGTCACCTATTACAGTAAACACAGTGTGAAAGCTGGGTCCAGAGCTAGTGACCAGCCTGCACAAACACAGCCCAGTACCCAGAGAGATGCCCGGAAGTCCAGACCATGCCTAGGGGAGCCCACCCAACAAGCACAGGACTGACATGGGTCTCGTTGCTACTCTGGATAAGAAACTACCGCGCTAGAACCAGAGAAAGAGGAGGCGGTCCCAGTCTGGGAGCTGCTCCACTCACATCGCCACCACTGTCCTTTATGCCGATGATATTCGGGTGCTGAGACAACGTAACCACGGCGTCCACAGGCAGGTCTAGCCCTGTGTTGGCTGGGACGCTGTACAACACCACAGGGATCGGAGAAAGATCCGCGACCTGTGGGGCACAGAGAAAAGGAGGCGGCGGCACCTGCCCGGGTCTGAGGGGCTGGAGGCTTACCCTCCCAGGCCCTGGACAGTGTCACTGCAGAGCTGTGTGACAGAGACCTGCCCCCTGAAGGGTTACAATGACAGGAAGTCTGAGTGCTCTCTATACAGCAGGCACAGCCCGAAGCTATGTATGCAGATCTCATGTAACCATGAAGAAGCGCACAAGGCAGATGCCTTATTTACCCTGTTTTATTTTCTTAAGATCTACTTTTATTATCTTTAATCAGGTATATATGTGTGGGTATATGCACATGAGTACCGGTGCCCTTAGAGACCAGAGGCTTCTGATCCCCTGGAACTGGAGTTGGATATGGTTGCAAGCCACCCAGATGGGTGCCGGGAACTGCACTTAGTCCATCTGTAAGAGCATTGTGAGCTCTTAACCACAGAGCTACCTCTCCAGCCCCCATTCTTCCTGTTTTAAAGGAAAGGAAATGATACGAAGAGGTTACGGAGTGCTCTAATGTCACACAGTTGGTACCTGATGGCTTATACTAGGTCCTAGAGTGACTATTAACATGACGTAGGCTCTCCCTGCCACTCCTAGCTTCTCCTTAGGCATGGCCTCCATCTCCGCCAACCTCCACTTGGTCCCAGGCCTCTAACCCACACCCACCCCTGCCACCTACCTTGGTGTAGTGGTGAATGAGGGCGGCGCTGCTCATGCGGCCACGATAGTAACAAGGGGTCACCACCATGACTGCGTCAGCGCCGACCTGAGCCATGCTGACGGTCATCTCTACCGTGGCTTGAGTGGCTGCAGAGAGGAGAGGGGAGAAGGCAAGCCAAACAGGTCTCAGTGCGCCCCGGCAGGGGCAAAGCAACAGACAGAACCCAACCCCAGGGCCCAGGAGCCCGGATCCCCCACAGCCCAGCAGCCCCAGGTCCCCGAGGCATCGTGTTCTCACACTCGCAGCCAGAGCCGGCTATCAGGAGCTTGTCCTTGGGAATGGCCTGGCGCGCTCGGCTCACCACCTCCAGGCGCTCGCTGCTGGTCAGGAATGGAAACTCTCCAGTAGAGCCCTGGATCACGAAGCCTACAACAGAGCCCCATGACTGCAACCCACCCATTCCTACCCTCTAGGGAGCATCAGGATGCTGGTACTGCAGTCCCCAGAGTTACTTTCCCACCAGGGCTTTCTGCCCACCCTTCCCATCCCTGTCCTGACATAAACACAGGGCTCTCAACAGATGCATAGCAGTGCACCCCCCATTTTGCTTTGAGTGAGATACTTTAACTGTACCAGAAAGAACGGCCTATAACACAGCCTGCACCCATGTTCGCTGCGTCCATGACCACCCTTCCCATTATCTCCCACTTGGGCTTTCTGCCCCAGCTCAGGTGTTTACTGTTTTCTTTCATATCTTTATACACGTGCAACAAATATAAGGACCCAGAAATAAGATGACTTATACTTCAGAGAAATGGAGCCAGGCTTACATAACCTGCAGTTTGCTATTTTCGTTTGGCATTGTTTTGCGTTTGTCTGCAGCAGAATACAAAGCTCTGATTCGTGTGCTCTATTTCTATACAATGTTCAGTTGTCCTCGAGGACATTTCGACTTCTTGTCTGCTGCTGCAAATGACGCTGAAACGAACGTTTTCTGGAAAAATCTTTGGCTATGTCTAGGGATTCCTTCTGTGTTCCTGTAGTTAGGCCCGACAGTCACGTCTGTGTATAGTTTCCTGGGTGCCAGGCTTCCAATTGGTCAGCACACACACCACAGCAGGAAAGCTAACTGACTGTTCACCCATGCCAACTCTGGGTATCCTCAGAACTAACATTTGCCATTTTCTGTGTCAAAAGTGGTGTCTCACTGCATTTTTTTTTTCTTTTTTGTCACCTTGCTGTTTTGTTTGAGACAGGGTCTCACTATGTAGCCTTGGCTGACTGGGAACTCATAAAGATCCATCTGCCTCTGGAATGCTGGTATTAAAGGCGTGGACTACCATGCCCGGCTCACCCTCCTGTTTTATCAACCATTTGTTTGAGAGGTTTCTTTTTTTTTTTTTAAAGATTTATTTTATTTATTATGTATACAACATTCTGCCTCCATGTATGCCCACACACCAGAGGAGAGCGCCAGATCTCAGTACAGATGGTTGTGAGCCACCATGTGGTTGCTGGGAAATGAACTCAGGACCTCTGGAAGGGCAGACAGTGCTCTTAACCACTGAGCCATCTCTCCAGCCCCATGTTTGAGAGGTTTCTAACCCATATCAGTTAATGGTACCAATATTTTTACTTCTTTGAAAGCCAAGCAGAACTGACACTCTTGGCAGAACCTCGGGGAATGAGTGTTAGCAGAGACATTGCTCCTGGGTTTCCCATTTACTCTTTTCCTTCTCCCTGCCTGTACTGGTTAACCCCAACTGTCCATTTGATGAGCTCTAGACTCCCCCAGGAGCCAGGCCTCCAGGCATACCTGTGGGGGATTATTTTGATTAGGTCACCTGAAGAGGGCTGGCCAGCCCCACTGTGGGCAGAACCATTCACTAAGTTGGGATTCTGGATGGTATAAAGAGGAGAAAATGGACTGAGCATGGTCATTGCTTTCTGCTTTTTGATTGTGAATGCAACTTGCTGCCTCGTTCCTGCTTCTGTAAGGCCCGCCCCTCCCCTCCGGGATGGACTGGAACCTCAAATACTAAGTCAAACCCTTCCTCTTGTAAGCTGCTCAGTGTTCAGTCTCCCAAACCCTGGGACAAATGGTGGAGGTGCTTATTTAACAAATAGGTTCTCCCAGCATCCCTCAGTCCCTAGCTGTTACAGAGGATAACTGGCAGACCCCACCTTTTACCCCCACCCCAACTCTCCAGCCCAGGGGCTAGCTGCCCTTCCTGTAGAGGCTCTTTCCTTGGAATCTAGCCATTCTGGTTACCTGCCCCTTTCACCTTTGCCTAGGCTGCTGCATCTGGTTCCATCTTCTTCCCTTCCCGTCCCATTCTCCCTCTGCTCCCGTGGCTCAGGATCCTGTCCACTTTCAACTCCCCCAGATGATCCTGCCTCTGGCTATGTTATCCCTTTTATCTACAATAAACTTTCTCCTCCATACCTAAGAGCAGTCATGGCCTTTCCTTTCTATTTCTTTTTTCCCCATTCAGTCAGAGTATTTTATCAGTGTCAGGAAAGGCAATAATGACACTGTCCTTCCATTAAAACAAAACAAAAACCTCACATCTTTAATTCCAACATTTGGGAGGTGGAGAGTAGAGAATCAAGAGTTCAAGGCCAGCCTGTAGGATTTGGGAGACCCTGTCTCAAACAAACAATAAAAATCATAAATTAGTCAGATGGTGGTGGTACACACCTTTAATCCTAGCATTCGTGAGGCAGAGACAGGTGGATTTCTGCGTTTGAGGCCAGTCTGGTCTACAGAGTGAATTCCAGGAGAGAGAGAGAACAAGAATCACAAGTAGTGTACAAACGCAGCACACAACACACTAGGATTAGAAATAAATAGTGAAGTGGGAGAAGAAAAACACAAAAAAGCTGGGCGCAGTATTAGCATACAAAATCCGTGCCCTACAGCTGTGTGTAACAAACCATCAATTTAACTGGGAGCTTCCCAGTAGAGACTGCTAGGGAAATGTGGGCCCTAACAGATACACAGAATCTGAAAGACAAGAGCAAAGCAGCTGCCCTGGAGAAACACAGAGTTTCCTGGCACTGAGACCAAGAGACAGTGTTCCCGTGAGTCACTCTTCAGGGGACACAGTGTGATGCCGACTCAACTTCATACCACATTTTCCACGTTGTTCACAGAAGCGATAGGCTCCGCTGCCAGGAGGGCTGCTCGGAACCTTCTCGCTGGACACTGACTTTTCCTTTGTGATACCCCAAGGAATGTGTTGGAACAGTTGGGGTTTGGCTTCAGCGTGAGTGTGTCCTGAGGTCGGGTCCTTGGGACTGGGGAAGAGTGCAGCCTCTTGTTCTGCTTCCTGGGAGTGTCCAACCTCTTTGAAGAAGCTGCTTGCCCTGGGGAAGGCTCCCATTTAACCAACATTGGGCCAACCCTTAGCCATTTCAAAACCGAGATCATGCCACTTCTATTTAGTTGCTGAAGTTATCTGCTACCTCGAGTTGTGACAGGCATATGCTGTGGTCCCTAACCAGCCACAGTCACTTTTCATCTCGTACTCAATCACAGCAGCCCCTGGGCTCCATAGGTGACTCTCAAAGCAGAAAGCAGGGTCTGATGGCCCCAGAGGCAGCAGCAGGCCCTCTATTCCAGTCTCCTATGGCAGATAGAGCCTCTCACACTTACTCCTTACCACCCCAGCCCCCACCCTGCCTCCAGAATCAGGCACTAGGCCTGTACCTGACTCCCAAGCATGCAGCCTGGGAAGTCATCACACCTGCAAGTCTTCACTTCCTTTTCTATGTCATAAGTAAAAGTCATTCCAGCCCTGACTTGCAGAGTTGCTTTAATGGCTCAGCTAGGAAAATGTCCCAGAAAGCACTTTGACATCTAGGAACTGGTGCTGCAAACAACACCCTCCTTACCCTGGCTGCATGTCCAATCGCCCCCTCCTTACCCTGGCTGCATGTCCAATCAAGCTCAGTTTCCAAGGCAGTTCATAACTGCCTGTGACCCCACCTCTGGGGAATCTAGGGCCCTTTTGTAGTCTACACACACACACACATACATGACAGACACAAATTACACAGATGTGTATAAATTTCTTTAAAAAAAGAAGATAAAAAGAGGGCTGGAGAGATGGCTCAGCGGTTAAGAACATTGGGTGTTCTTCCAATAGGACCCGGGTTCAATTCCCAGTACCCACATGGCAGCTCACAACTGTCTGTAACTCCAGTTCCAGGGAATCTGATACCTTCACACCAACATACATAAAGTTAAATTAAAAAAAGAAAATTGCTTAACCAAACTTAAGCTTCCGTAACTGAAAAGTGGAGATACTGTTATTTTTCTCAAACAGTGAAGTTAAAATGAGATGCTCTTTGTAAAGAACTTAACTGGAGCCGAGTGCTGTGTGGGTGTGAGCTGCAATCCTCCTGGAGTTGGAAGAAAGTTCCCTTTAAAGCCCGAGTGTGGCTGGGCCAGATGGGAGAACCTCTCAACTCCCGTCCCCACCTTGCACAGAAGTCCCTCTCACTGTGGAAGCCGCTCAGGTGGGCGAGGCCTGAGAAGGGTGCTGAGCAGGCCTGGGCTACAGAGGCAACCTGGTGATTTACTGTGGCCTAAAGCAAGCACAGTGTCTCACAGAAGGGGTGACCCTGGTGACTCATCATCACCTCCTCCTCCCAAGTGTATCCTGGGACCCTCTGTGGGTCTCTGGCCACTGAGCCCTTCTCCTCTGAGTTCCCCCTCTCTGTTCTTTTTTTTTTTTTTTTTTTTTTAAATCATGTTCCCTGTGTGTGCTCACATGCAGAAGGTGCTTGGAGTCCTTCAGCCACTCCAAGGGATCAGGCAAGCTTTCTCACCCTGACCTCTTCCACAAGACGAGATCTGGAGCAGATGGGCTCCAAAGTCCTCCTTCGTCCTAAGTCCCACAGTGGTTTCTGCTTTCTCCTTAGCCTTCCCCCATCTAGTAATGTTCTTCATCAATCCAGACTGGGGCATGCCTTGGATACCACTTGCTTGGTTGTGCAAGGCCCTAGTTGGATTCCCAAGCACCACGAAAACAAATGTCGGGGTTCTCCCCCACCCACAACCACTGCCATTCTCCTGCCTCTGCGCAGAAGCTTATGGAATGCCTTTCTGCTTCGAAGCCAGCCGAGACCTCTCACAATCCTAGAGTAAGTGTCTCAAATCCCTGTCCCTCGGGGCCCTGCAGCCCATAGCATCTTGTTGTCCTACTATGTGCTCTTCTTGCTTGACCTGGAGTCACCCAGTCTGGAAGAACAGCCTTGGAATGGCGACCAACCCAGACTCACTGAGGTGAGTGTTGACAATCTGCTGTATAAAATAACCATCCTGAATGTGCAGGCCTGAAGCAGACCTTTTTTTTTTTTTTTTAAAAAAAAAAAAAGAAAACATGATCTAATTTATAACCTCCCTCTAGGACGAAATGCCTGACAAAATGCTTAAGCAATTCCTAAAGAACTTTAATGGAGGGGGCTGGAGAGATGGCTCAGAGGTTAAGAGCACTGAATGCTCTTCCAGGGGTCCTGAGTTCAATTCCCAGCAACCACATGGTGGCTCACAACCTTCTGTAATAAGAACTGGTGCCCTCTTCTGGCCTATAGGCAGGATACTGCATAAATAAATAAGTAAACAAACAAACAAATAAGGTCTGGATCTGGGAAGCCAGCCACCTCCCAGCTCGGGCCAGACTCTGGTGGCTGTTTAGCTGCCCTTCGCGTCAGTCTCAACAGTCATCTGATGGGCTTTTCTTCCCCCTAATAAAAATGTTCACACCAAAATCTATATTTAAGTGGTCTGCCCGTGGGCCATTTTGCCTACAACAGGACAGTAATAGAACTTTGGCATATGCTCATGGACTGTCTGCAACTGTCTCAGCTTTGAATTTCAGAGATAAAAATGGGATATAAGGAATGCCGATAACATCTTATAAGCACAAGAAACAGAACCAAGGATGAACACGGGTGCTAGCTGAACACAATTTTGCCAACTTGAAATATTTTTCTAATTTTTTTTTTGGACACAAGATCTCTTGTTGTCCAGGCTGGCCTCAAACTATGTAGCTGGGGATGACCTTGAACTCTTGACCTTCTTGCCTCTCCTAAATGTAATGTTGAAATTACATTAGTACACCACTGTGCCTGGCTGAAACTTTTAAAAATGTATTCCAAAATTGTGAGCTAATTAGAAAATTTATGTAAGTCTTTAAGTACATGATTTCAGATGTCCCAGGTATACACTCTTTTGTCTTTTCTGGGCTAAGAAACAAACCCATGGCCTTGAACATAGCAGCCAGGGGCTCCATCATTGAGCTGTGTCTCAAGTTCTGTGCTTGTATTTCTAGTCTTTTCAGGTGCCAAATCTCACCACTCTTTTGAGTTTTGTGAAAGTTTTTAGCCTCCAATACTTTGCTCTGTGATCAACCCTACTTATTTTCAATTAAATTGACAATTTCAATTAAAATTCAGTTTTGTCTGTTGAGTGGCTATGTTTGTGCAGGTACGTGGGTGTGGGTGTGGGTGTGTGTGCGCGCGCGCGCGTGCGCACATGGGGCTGGGCTTTTATGTGGCAACCAGACGACAATCTCTTTCTGTTCTTTCCCTAGTCTGCAGTGCACTAGGTGAGCTAGGCTGACTGACCAGAAGTACCAGGGATCCACCTGTTTCTGCCTCCTCATTACAATTTTTTTTTTGTCTCTGTTTTGCTTTTGTTTTTTGTTTTTCGAGACAGGGTTTTTCTGTGTAGCCTTGGTTGTCCCAGAACTTGTTCTACAGACCAGGCTGGCCTCGAACTCACAGAGATCTGCCTGCCTCTGCCTCCTAAGAGCTGGGATTAAAGGCATGTGCAACCACCAACAGGTACAAAATTTTATGAAATATTTAAAATATGCCAATATAGGATATTCCTCAGATGGAACTCCTACCATCCAAAGGAATTTTTTTTGTTTCCCCTCAGTTTATATTTATTCTGCTGAAAACTATGAAAATAAAAATTCATATATACTTGGGCAGTGAAATGGTCCAGTGGTTCCAAAACTCCTGCCACCTTGATAGTGCAAACCTGAAGACCTGAATCAAATTCCTGGATCCATGCAAAGGTGGGAAGAAAGAAATGACCCCATAAGATTGCCCTCTGATCTCTACATGTTCATATCATATGCCAACAGCAAATTAAAAAAATTTAAATTTCATTCATACAAATTTATACTAGCAATGTCCAGAAACTAAAAAATACTAATCAACTGACCACATTTAAGGTGTTTATGACCTTAGCTATACTCAGTGACTTGCCCCAGATAAGACCAACAAGGTAAAAACTTAACAGACTCAAATTTATGTCAAAGATTTACCTGGAGTCAGGCAGTGACTTGTTGACCTGTCTAAAGACTCACAGAAGTGGCTGCTTGATTTGGGGGTAGAGGGTCCTAGGAGGAAGACTCAGAGAGAATGCCAGGCGTGTAGGAGGCCGGAAGAAAGGTAGGCTGTAGGGGGGGCGGGCATCAGGATAAGCAGAAAGGTAGAACCTTGGGAGGGGAAGAGGACAGGAGGCAGGAGGCAGCTGTAGTCTGAACACTGGAGCAGATGTAGCAGTCACAAGACTCAAGCAATGGTGACATGACCCAGATGTGTCATATACAGCTCTAAGCTGTGGACACAGGATCCCCATGGACCCAAGAGAATGGGGCCCAAAGTCCCACCTGGATGACTTACGACTTACTCTTTGCTGAAAGCCTGCCCCTGGTCACCTCTTGCCCAGCCCGTGCTCCACCCTGGTTCCTTGGCAGCAGTAGGCGGGTGGGTGTGAGACCTCTGGCAGGGGAAACTGCTATGGTCTTAAGGCTGGTGCAATGAGAAGGCCCCCAGCCAAGGCCCACCTACAGAACTGCTGGGGACACACCCTCTCCTCCAACCCTGCCCAGAACTCAGCTGACCATAGAGTCCCTGGACGCAGAATGAGGGCATGTAGGGCTTTATTGGCTCCATTCAGGCATGTGGAGTCAGTGTGGGGCTTGTGGTGGCTGCTTCTGTAATCTGCCTCATGTCTTCTCTCGTGGGTCTTCAGGGCCCTCGGGCTGTTGAAGCTGCATCCCTTCCTCCCTCACTCGTGGGGGCCAGAAGTAGGCATTTGGGTGGCAGCCTCTCACCCTGGACCAAGCAGGTTTCCCCATAGAAGAGAAAACAGGCCTGCGTATGTGAGCCGGCCCTGCTGGGGGAAGGGGCACATGGTTAAGTGGCTTCAAGAGTCATAGGTTTGGTGGCTGCGGTTGGGCAGACTATGGCTCTGATGGCTTGCGTGACCTGGTTGACCCTGGTGGCTCTGGTGGTTTGAGTGGCCCAGATGACTCTGGTGGCTCTGGTGACTTGAGTAACTTGGATGACCCTGGTGGCTCTGGTGGCTTGAGTGGCCCAGATGACTCTGGTGGCTCTGGTGACTTGAGTAACTTGGATGACCCTGGTGGCTCAAGTGATCTGGGTGATGACCCTGGTGGCTGGAGTAAACAGGATGACTCTGATTACTCTGGTGGTTTGAATGCCTGTGCTGGCTCTGGTGCCCATGGCGACTCTGGCTATAGATGGTGTGACTTTGGTTGGAACCAGCTATGGAGGTTTCCCGCTGAGTGAGGAAAGTCCCTTTCAGCTTTATATCCACCTCCTCCAGAGCCTTCAGCTCTTCTGGGCTGATGTCCCTGGATTCCACGTGACCTATATGCTGGTAGGTCGTGGCGCGTTGCAGCATGGAATTAGCCAGGTGATGCCCCTTGGCATCGATCTCCTTGGCACAAGCAGCCACTGCGGCCCATGTTTCGTCCTCCATTGACGAGGGCTTTCTTGACTCCCTCTGGGTCTCTTTGGTCACTGAGGTCCCAGACACCTTCTGTTTGCTGGCAAAGGAATCTCGGTGCAGAGCCATGCTTCCTTCTCCGTGTTTGGAGGTGAGGGTGTCCATGTGGAATGTGGTGTTGGCTTCCCCATGCCTATTTTCATACGAGGGGCCATTGTTGCTGACATAGCGGTGGGTGGGCAACCTCTCTTCGGAGAGGCAGCTAAAGTGAGACTTGATCCAGCTGTCATTTGATAGGCAGGATTCGGGAGACTTGTCTCGAGCACACTCTGTCTTCCTTTTTCTCCTCTGAGCCCACAGCATGAGGCCTCCACCTCCTAGCACGAGGGCAGTCCCCAGCACCACCTTGCATGATGGTTGCTGGAGGAACTCTAAGAAGTCCTCCAGGGCCCTAGGCCTCAGGCAGAGAGCTAAGAACGCGCTGGGAGTGGCGGAGCCCAGATGGTATGGTTCATGCTTGAATGGGCCGGAGCCCTGCGGGTGTCTGGCAGGCAGGCCCCTGCCTCACCCTCCTCTAGTATGCCCTCTGACACCTCAGCAATAAACCCCATTGTGAGGAAGGCAGCCAGGGGGGATGGGGTGAGGTGAGGCCACCTTAGCACTCAGACGTAGTCTGGCAAGCCTCATGTAAGGTTTGGGTCTTGTCCCCTGCTCTCAGTGGGAAAAGTGTCATTTAGCTATGAGATGCTTCTGCCTTCTGCTGGCTGTGAGGTCTTCTACTCTGTCCTGCTTATTTTCTTTGGTTTCCCTCGTCATTCCTTATCTAGTGGCCCCCAGAGTGCAGAGGACAGTGAATCAGTTTGGCCATGGCAAACTGGGCCCCCCTTAGCTGAACTGGCATCCATTCCTGGTCAATAACTCCCCAAGAAAACCATCCCTGCTGTCAACACAACATATACTGTCTCTTACAGCCCTAGCTCCATTACAGGGGAGAGTCCAGAAACTAAAGGACCCAGGAAGGAGCTCATTCTGGAACAATGAGGTCACAATTGAGAGCAGACAAAGCAGTGGGCTGAGAAGGCAGAGTAGATAGGACAAACATCAGGCCCCAAGGCCTGGGGTCATTCTACATTCTACATCTTTCCTGAGTGATAGCTTGAAGATCCAAATTGTTTGCTTGTTTGTTTGTTTTTCGAAACAGGGTTTCTCTGTAACAGCATTGGCTGTCCTGGAGCTCACTTTGTAAAGTAGGCTGCCCTCAAACTCAAGAGATCCACCTGCTTCTGCCTCCCCAAGTGCTGGGATTAAAGGTGTGCATTACTATGCCTAGCCAAGATTCAAATTTTTTGCCCCTGGTAAATAAGCATCACGAAATTTTGAGCAGGTAGCCTGGCTAGTCAGGCTTGCCACACATCCCTGTACGGTCCTGAATTATTCCTGTGTATTTGGGGCTAGGAACGGGTCTGGGCTACTGCTGTTTACCTCAAAGCATGTAGCACTCTCAGAAAGGCCCAAATGGTCCTTGTAAAAAGTTGTGTTATTTGGGACTGAGCAATGGCTCAGTGGCTGCTCTTCCAGAGGTCTTGAATTCAATTTCCAGCATCTACATGGTGGCTCACAGCCATCTATAATGGGATCTGTCACCCTCTTCTGGCATGCAGGCATACATGTAGACAGAGCATTCATATACAGAAAATAAATGCTAAAAAAAAAAAAGCTGTGATATTTGAGGGGCTGGAGAGATGGGTCAAGAGCACTTGCTACTCTTTAGAGGGCCTAAGTTGAGTCAAGCTCAGCACTTGTCAAGCTTGGTCTCTGTAATGCCAGCTCCAATGGATCTGACATCTCTGTCCTCCTCTGGTTCCTGTACTCAACATACCCATGTCCATGTGCTGTGGGACAATGGTCCTGTACTTTGTAAAGTTTTGTCACTTGTACTGTTTTAATAAAATGCTGATTGGCCGGTAGCCAGGTAGGAAGTAGGGGTGGGGTGACCAGAACAGGAGAATTCTGGGAAAAGGAAAGGTTCAGTCTGCAGTCGTCCTTCAGACAGAGGAAAATGAGACTGCCTCGCTGATAAAAGGTACCAAGTCACATGGCTGACACAGACAAGAATTATGGGTTAATGTAGGATATAAGAGTTTATAAGAAGCCTGAGCTAATAGGCCAACCAGTATAATTAATGTAGACCTCAGAGTATTTCTTTGAGACTGAATGACTGCAGGACCAGGCAGGACAGAAATCACTGTCAACACTGATGTGAAGGCACACATACCTACATAACGTTACAAAGTAAATCTTTTTTGAAAAGTTGATACCAGGCATAGTGGCACACAGCTTTAATCCCAGCATTCAGAAGGTAAAGGTAGGCATATCTCTGCAGATTCAAGACCAGCCTAGTCTGCAAAGTAAGTTCCAAGACAGCCAGGGCTATGTAGAAAGAGTCTGTCTCAACCTCTCATCCCCCTCAAAAAGTTATTTGAAATATTTTCTTTAATCAAGTAATAATTTTTATATATACTTTTTTTTTTCAGAAGAAACCATAGTCCACATTACATGTGGTAGGAATAAGGTACAGCTGAAAGCTTTAGGGGACCTCAGCTCCCCAGCCTTGTTGAACTATCCTGGGAATTTCTATTAACCTCACTGGAAATAACAACTCAAAGTTCACCTGTGAGGCTGTTTACAGGTGTGAGTTCAGGGTCACTGGCCCTTCTGAACAACCCCTCCCTCTAGGCTTTGGCTATGACCTTCCAAAAGTTTTTTTATTAAAAAATTTAAATTACCTGGGAATACCAGGTGCTGTAGGCTATAAAAAAATTTAAAAAAAAGAAATAAAAAAAATTAAATTAGTCTGGCTGGGCAGTGGTGGCACAAGCCTTATAATCCCTGCACTTAGAAGGCAGAGGCAGGTGGATCTCTGTGAGTTCAAGGCCAGCCTGGTCTAGAGAGTGAATTCCAGGACAGCTAGAGCTATACAGAGAAACCCTGTTCTGAAAAAAATAATTAAATTAAAGTATAATTAGATTACTTCCCTTGTTCCTTTCCTATGTCTCCCTGATTAATTCTTTCTCAAATTGATGGCCTCTTTTTCTTTATTGTTACGTATATATGCATAAATAAAATAAATACAATCTGCCGACTCCATGTGTATATGATTTCTGGGCTTACCACTTTGTACTAGATAACTAACTAGGGGTTCATTTCTGAGTGAAACTAATTCTCCCTCTCTCAGCAGTCAGTAGTTAGCTGTAGTTCTCTGTCTAGGAATGTGACCCCTATGAGAATTTCCTCTTTCAAGTTAGCATGTCTATCGATATTGTCATTGTTCAGGTCTTGTTTAGGCACACCAAATTTGGTTATAACTTTTATTTTACTTAATAAAAATTTGAAGTTTAAGATTACAGAACTCTAACCCTTACTCAAGGCCCATTTTAATAACCATAAAACACTGTGCACAACACTCAAACCTGCATTTTGCACAAGACAGTAAACCAGAGGAGCAGACCCTGTGCTTGCTGGTACTAACACCGCTTCTGATTTTCTTAGCCTCAAAGAGCTGCTTCTATGTATGACTGACAAGCTTTTGCAGTTTGTAATTTGTTGGGGGAGGGGACGTCGTCTTCTAGAATTGCTTTTGGCTTTCATGGGGGTGATATTCTTTCTATGGGATCCTGTGAAAGTGGAGTGGTGGTTGAGTTTCAAGATTACTGTCTGGTGCCGGGCAGTGGTTGCACACGCCTTTAATCCCAGTACTCGGGAGGCAGAGGCAGGCGGATCTCTGTGAGTTCAAGACCAGCCTGGTCTACAAGAGCTAGTTCCAGGACAGGCTCCAAAACCACAGAGAAACCCTGTCTCGAAAAACCAAAAAAAAAAAAAAAAAAAAAAAGATATGGTTGCAGATGATTTCTGAGTGTTCGGTATGATGTGGGATTTCCGACGTGGGATTCCCCTCTTTATGCTGTGATTACCACTAATGAATAAAAAAAAAAAACTATCTTGGCCTGTTGATAGGGCAGAACTTAGGTAAGCAGGAAAAACTAAATGGCATGCTGAAAGAAAAGAGGCAGAGTCAGAGAGATGCCATGTAGCCCCCGCCGGAGACAGACACCGAACAGATTTTTACCCAGTAAGCCACATCCACGTGGCAATACACAGATTAATAGAAATGGGTTAAGATGTAAGAATTAGCCAATAAGAAGCTAGAGCTAATGGGCCAAGCAGTGATTTAATTAATACAGTTTCTATGTGATTATTTCGGGATTAAGCAGCCAGGAACCAATAAGCGGCTTCCTCCAATAGTAATTAATTTATCTACTGAAGATATCCCTTATCTACAAATTAGGAGCCACTTTCTCTTTCCAAAATAGCTAATGGTGGTTGGTTTGTTTTGCTGACCACCAAAGGCAGCCATTGCACATCTTTTGATTCTTCCTTATCATTTCTGTTTTGTACTTCAATGGAACTATTTTGGTTCAGAACTGACATGTACTTTCAATACTGCAAACAGAAGCTAAAGGTTTGGCATACTCTTTTCATTATTTATTGTGCATTTTTGTTTGGTTGGTTGTTGGTTTTTTGAGACAGGGTTTCTCTGTGAGACAGGGTTTCTCTGTGTAGCCTTGGCTGTCCTGGAACTCATTCTGTAGGCCAGGCTGGCCTTGAACTCATAGAGATCTGTCTGCTTCTACCTCCCTGGTACTAATTATAGGCATGTGCCACCACTGCCTGGCTATTGTGGGTTTTTGTATGGTATTTGATAACATTAACTAATTTGTCTTAAAAAATAAAAATTTTACATTTTAGGGAGGGCACATGTCTCTTGGAATGCTTGTGGAGGTCAGGAGATGACTTGCAGAAGTTGGTTCTCTTCTTCCACCTTACATAGGTTCTGGAGACTGAATTTAAGTCATCAGGCTTGGCAGCAAGAACCTTTACCCAATGTGTAATCTCACGAGTCCCTTAACTTTTATTTTAAAAGAATACTGTTCATTTAAATAATCAGTACAGATCAGCAATACTTAAAAAATAAATATAAAAACAAACCAGCTGGGCAGTGGTGGTACACATCTTTAATTCCAGCACTTGGGAGGCAGAGGCAGACGGATCTCTCTGAGTTCGAGGCTAGCCTGGCTTACAGAGTGAGTTCCAGGACAGCCAGAGCTACCCAGAAAAACTCAGTCTCAAAAGAACTAAACAAAATAAAAACAAAAACAAAGAAAAAAAACCAGAAAACCCCAGAGCTTCAGGCACTCCTTCTAGAATACACTGTGCTCACTCACGGAAGCACCAAGGGCAGGTTCCATCTCTTTAGAGGACTTGCTGCCCACACTCATGCAAAGTACTACGTGACAGCTGTCTGCATCTGTCCCTGAGCACTGGACTGCATAATCTATTCTGGAAGGCAAGAGAAACAGATTTAATATGTGGTTGCACACTGGAGACATGACAGGACCCCCTGACTCTATGCCCCCTATGCCAGCTGCATGGTTGACTATCTTGGGAGAATTATGTTGAGCTGCCTCAGAGCCTGAGGGCTTAGTTCCTGACCTCTAAAGCCCTCAACTTCCTGGTATGAGGTGAATAGAGAACTCAAATACCATCAGGAACCCATAAACCAAATCCCCCCCAAAATTGTCTAGGGTACCCCATGCTGGTTGCAGCAGTTAGGGAGGCAAAAGGGAAAACCCAAAGACAATTCTGGAGGTCTCTGTGAACTCCTGGATGGCAGAAACACAATGTATACAAAATCCAGTCCTCCGGCCCCTGCCCTAGAGTGTCTTGGTCCTTCAGCTGAAGCGGACGAAGTGTTCTCTCTGAAGCTAAGGGCTGTCATGCTTTGCTTTAAGGAAATCAAGTCTCAGCCCAACCCCACCCACCATAAGCAAGCTCCAGACACACTGGCCCTGTTCAGTGTGTGCACCCATAGGCAATTTGTCCCTTGACAAACACTCGTCATCATCTGAGTACTGAGCTGGGGTGGGGGACTCACTGTCACAAAGCAGCTCTGCCGCAAAGACACTTGCACTTTTAATAATCATCATTCCAGCCGGGTGTTGGTGGCGCATGCCTTTAATCCCAGCACTCGGAAGGCAGAGACAGGCGGATCTCTGTGAGTTCGAGGCCAGTCTGGTCTACAAGAGCTAGTTCCAGGACAGGAACCAAAAGCTACGGAGAAACCCTGTCTCGAAAAATCAAAAAAAAAAATCATCATCATTCCAGGAATCGATACCTTCAAATGTACAGCACTCTAGAATTTATACCATGCATGTTTTCACTCCTGTTCTTCCAGATTCTTCTTATGGCTACCCCACAACCTGGGCATTATCACTCCTATATGTCATATGGAGAAGCAGGCAAAGAGTATTCCATAGGAAAGGCCATTGGCAAAGCTGTGATTGGAAACCAGAGGCCACTATCCTAGCTGCTAGCCTGTGCCTGCTCAGGCAGAGCCACACCAAACAGCATTTGTTGGAATAGGTCTTAGAGGGGATCCAGCAACTCAGGAGGTATTAGAATAAGCGGACAGAATGGAGTATGTAATCAGTCGGATCAAATCTCAGCCGCTATGTGTTAGCTGTGTGGCTGTGGATGGTGATCACATCTCTCGGACCTGTGTGTAAAACAAGAGGTGAACCAGAGGGGCCGGCACACTGAGTAGTTCTGCCAGGCAGGCTTGGGAGGAAGGGAGGCAGATACTGGCCGCTCTGCCATGTGAGCGGGCCAGTGGCCTTCCCATCAGCAGAGGGCCCGGTAGACAAGGACGTCCTCATTCACTGACCCACGTGATCCCCACAAAAACCCTGGGAGTAGAGAAGACGGTGCCTCAGCCCTCCACAGCTGGGGAAACAAAGGCAGGTGAGGCTCTGTCCATGGTGCCAGACCTGTGTCCTGTCGTCCCGTCCCCCGTGCCCCCCCCCCCCCCAACCGCTTCAGTCAATCTGGCTTCCCAATGCCCTCTTACCTCGGAAGGGGAAGGTGCCTAGTTTATTCAGGTTCTCTTCCAGTTTCCCATAGTCTACCTCCGCGGTGGCGGTGAAGGGGGTTGTCACAGGTGGGTAGATGCCGGCAATGTCTACCTTCTTCCCCTTCATATTCCTAGACAAGCCCCTGCTCAACCCCTGCCTCATAGAGGCCCAGATTTGGCGGCCTAGCATTTCTTCAGGGGGCCTGAGGCCTAGCTGTCTACAGCCACAGGGGAACTGAGTTTGGACTCCTTTTCCCCACTGTTAATGATCAACAAACCCAGTTAAAAATTCGTGGCCCCAACCCACAACTTGTGGACGTGAGGGGAGTGTAGCCTGGGGGCGGGCCCAGAGGCTTGACGCTGGTCTTCTTGCCTGCTGGGAAGAAGCTGGAGAAATGCCACAGCTCTGGCCTGAAAGAGAGCTGGCTCCTGGGGTTTACACTAAAAAGTGTCTCGGACGGAGCTTGGGCCCTCTTCCCAGAGCCCCAAAGCCAAGAGCCAGCACCCCTACCCCAACACACACAACACCGTCCAGGCTGGTCTGAGTCTGACGGAACTGATTGGCTGAGCTGCCCTGGCCCCGCCCCACTGCAGCGGGGTTGAACCGTTGTTCAAGAAGCAGCTGGGGGGGGGGGGGGCGGGGAACCACGCCTCCTGTCTACCAGGCTCCAACCAAGGCCGTCGTGTGTTGTTAGCCCTCTCTGCAGGACACACACCTCCATAGAACAGTCTTGGGGACTGAGGGGCAGAGAATGAATATACCACAGAGAGGAACTATATCACAATCCTGGCCCAAGGGAGGAGGGATGAAAAGCAGGATGATGTGGACAAAGCAAGACCACAGGAGGGAGACTTCCTAGCTCAGGAGTCAAGGGACTCCACATTCCCTTGTTTCCAAGTTCACACCCACTTTCCATTCCTGCGTGTTTGGAGCGCAAAGGGACGCAAAGACCACAAATACCAAAGACAGCATTTTATTGTGTTGAGTCTGTGGGTGTTCCTGCCAGGCTGGTTGCAAGTAGCTCCATAGTAGGGGACTGTTGCCCAACTTTTACTGGGCTGGTACTGGCTGGGGGGTCTCACGCCCACTCCCAAGCCTCTCCAGTCCGTTCTGTTCTGATTCTGGCTCAGGATGCTCCAGGGCATGCCGAGTATCTGCTTGCCATAGCTGGACGAGGTCTGTAGGGGTCTTTCCTGCCTGGAGAGAATAGGAGGAGATTATTCAGGCTTCAGAATTTGCTCTCAGCTACAACAGTGGTTCTCAACTGGAGGCAAATGGCCAGAGGTAAAGACATCTTGCATTTTACAACTAGAAGTTGTGGGTGCTACTGATATTGAGTGGGCAGAGGCCTACAATGCACAGGAAAGTCCCTTCGTTATGAATTGTCCAGCACCAAAGCCTGCAGTGCTGAGTGGAGACCAATCACGCCCTCTCCACGTGCTCCTGCCTTCCTCAGTGTCTCTTAGCCTTTTTGCACCAGACAAATCTTTCTAGGCCCCTCTTTAGCGATTGTTCTGTGGACCAAAAGATGGGCTTGGATCGGAGGACATCTATTCTCCAAAATCCTGAGGCCCACCCTGAACCACCATGATGTGCTAGAGTGGTCACAACACCAACCAAGGACTTGGATTCTCTTCCAGCTGGACCTCCATAATTGGGCCTGGACACTGGGCTCCACTCTGCCCTATAGGGGGACTTTGGGGAAGTTCTCCCACCCCCTGTCTCCTATTGTTTCTCTGAACTTGTGGTCTGAACCTTGACATGGAAAGAGGGATCTGGGAAGGTAGGTGGTTAGGGTGGCGTGGCCAAGAGCCAATGACACGTGTACCTAGGCTGTGACTGGCCCTAGGCTGTGGCTGCCCCGTGCCTCTGGAGACCATCCAGTAAGCATTTGCAGCTTTAGGTGCTCACCCAGCCAGCCAGAGAAATCAACTCACCAGGTTCTTAGCCATCATGTCAGCCCCATGCAGGAGCAGCAGTTTGATGATTTTGTAGCGGTTGAGTCTCACGGCATCATGTAGGGCACTGTCCCCTTCCTAGAGTCGGGGTCACACATGACAGTGGGTGAGTAGGGTTATAGGAGCTGGGCCTTGCTCAGAGGCTGTAGCCCTAGGGTCCTGTGGTGAAGGACTACTCGCCCACGGGCTGCCCCGACACCCACGGTGGCTGAGCAGGGGAGGAGGCAAGCACTCACCCTGTCTTTGGCATTGATATCCAAGCCCAGAGACAGAAAGTGTTCCACAATCTCCACGTGTCCAGTGCGAACGGCTACGTGCAGGGGAGTGCTCAGGAGCTGTGTACGGAGAAGCAGGACTCTTGGCAGTGGGCCAGGAATACGGTGTCCTGGGGTGGGGGAGCTATCTTATCTCTAGCCTCATCCTACTCCCAAGTCTAAGCGTCAAGGCCTGAGCCTTGGACAGGAGACACTGGTACAACACGCCATTATCCTTCCCAGTGAGCTAAATAGACAGCTTTAAGTGCTGTGTCCTCTAGGTAGCCTATCACGGTTCCCCTCTTGCCTAGCAATGAGCTACTACTGCCCAACCCTCTTCTCTCTCTCTCTCTCTCTCTCTCTCTCTCTCTCGCTCTCTCGCTCTCTCGCTCTCTCGCTCTCTCGCTCTCTCGCTCTCTCGCTCTCTCGCTCTCTCGCTCTCTCGCTCTTTAAAAATAAGACAGGGTCCCACCATGTAATCCAGGTGGCTGCAAACTCTCAGTTCCCCTGCCAATGCCTCCCGAGTACTGGGATTGCAGAGGGGCACTACTATGCCTAGGTTCTTCTTTAATTATTTGGCGAGTTTATTAACTGGGATGCTGAGGATTGAGCCCATGGTCCTGCACGTGCTAAGCAAGGATGCCACTACTGAGTGACCCTCCCAGTCCATCCCTTTAAAAGGTTTTTTTTTTTAACGAGACAAATTATCACTGCATAGACCAGGCTATCCTTGAACTTAAAAATCCTCATGCCTCTGCTCCTGAGTACTGGAATTAAAAGTGTGTGCTACCAAGCCCAGCTTCTTTTTAATAATTATATCAGATGCCATTAATTGAGAAATGACTGTGATAGAGGTGGCAAAAGCTTCCTATGTTAAAAAGTAATTTATTTACAAACATTCCCTTCCTAACCTCTGTAAGAACTCCACAAGTTTTACAACTGAAGAAGAGTGTCTGAGAGGTCGAGATTGCATGTAAAGAAATAGATGGATGGAAGGATGATAGGTTAATAAGTAAATGAATAAATAATAAACTGATGGATGGGCGGGTGAATAATGAAGGATGGCATAGGTGTACAAATCCTGCATCCTCTCGGTGGACCACGCCTCCACAAGAGCAGGTCTTTTGTCTTTCTCTCAGCACTTGCTCCCAAGCTCCCTGGAGGGCCTGAAGCTTCTCTGCAGCCACGCTAGAAACCAGGCTAGCCCACTGCTTACCTACCACGTGAGCTTGCTTGCCATTTGCTGCTTCCCCCCCCCCCGCCCCCCGCCTCACCCCGCAGCATCCCAACGTGTACTGCAGCCTATGAACTTCACCTTGTCTCTCACATTGGTGTTGGCTCCTCGGCTTTGCAGGAGTCTCACCACCTCCAGGTGGCCTCCACGGCAGGCCCAGTGCATGGCTGTGCAGTCCAGCTGGAAGGGATGGATGGAACTTAATAGCAGAGCTGTTGGGAAGGAAGTTTCCTGGGGAAAGGATTGAAGCCAAGAAGGCAGAGGACAAAAAGAAAGAAAGAAAGAAAGAAAGAAAGAAAGA